TGTATGTCTTGAACTAAATTTTTTCCACCAATAATGTTATATGTAAGGCAAAATAAGGACAACATGACATCTATTACTTAAAGGATAGTTGTAGATGACAATAAAGGATCTTTGTTAACAACACATTGTTATTTAAATTAGTCGATCAACCTAAATCATCTTCTGCTCAACAGATATTCACAAAACACACTTACTTCATTCATATGGTCAATATGTTTATAAGGCTTTCTATTATTTTAAATGTAAACAAGCTACTATTTCTAACCAATAAGATACATATGAAAGCATCACACATGTTATGCCATAAATATGGAAACGATGACAATGTAACGGTTAACAACTTACTTTTAACAGCAAATGGCCCACTTCTCCAACTCCAAATGACATTAATGACAAAAACATTCCTATGGCCTGTACACATACCACAAAGCATAGACAATAACTACATGTTTTGTATTAAATTGTAACACTTGCCAAGGTGCAAATTAAAACCTATGCCATGTTGCTTATGACATGTAATAAATGTTTAAGTCATGACAAATTCCACTCAGCACAATTCAAGCTCAGCAAAATCCAACAAATTATAAATTATACGAATTAGACATTATTGGCTGAGTCGTATTAGGAATGTTGAGTGAGATAAGTACAGTGGGAACAGTCTTAAACATGCTCAGTAGTGGACAAGATGTTGAGCAAAAACCATCCATTGATACAAGGTTGCCACTGATATTAATTTGCTTAGCTACTCATAGATTGACTTAGCAAAATTTATTTAGCTTAGCCATTTATGTTTACTCAGCCACAAACATATAACAAGTTACAAATTTGTCTGCAAACCGCACTAGGTACATGCTGAGCGATTTGATTGTGCTAAGCCATTTACTATAACATTCTTCAAGGAGAGAAAATACAAATAGGACAAATGTTTTAGATATGTTTTGTATCGGTTGTGTGTTGTCATTTACCACTTATACCAACCATTTATATTTGTAGTTTGTCAAAACTAAGGTCAAATTATATAAACATCAACCTTGCTTTAAATACGAGAAACACATAATTACATTCATGTTACACTAATAGATATAATGTCATATATTGTACTTAAAGGTCAATCATCTTAAACAACTATATAAGTTCCAACAACACATTAAACAACACCAAATTCATACGAAGGTATACTATTAATTACTACATATATCACATAACTTGTCTGCGTGTACTACTTCTACTCTTATTGTACTCAAACCATGGTGTTCTTGTAACTAAATCTGCAACACATTTTCTAGGATTTTTTTCAGCTGACTCTACCTATTAGAGTCTTCAACAACAATGATGTTTTCATTTTATTTCAAATTATCCGTTTCTTCATTTACTTCCATAACCTCATTACAAAACACTTCTTTGTGCTTTAGTGATTTCTTTAACTACAAAATTTGTATCTCAATACCTTGTCTCCAATGCTTTATTTTTCTCCACCAACATGATTTGTGACAAGGTCATTTATACGGATAAAAGAACTCTTTAAAAGCTTGGAAGTTTTATTTTCTTCAGCGCATACTTCACTAACTACTTCATGTGTACCCCTCACTTTTGTCATAACCAAATCTCCCACAACCTACCAATAAAATTGAAATATGCATTCAATTCGTAATAGATACTATCAAACTTGAAATATTAATTAAAGAAATTAATACGTACCAAGCATTTTTTTTAAAGGACAATCAGTTTATGCCTAGAGACACTCAGAAACTCCGGAAATGCCTCAAAGGGATTCTTAGAGAGAGAAAGTCTAGAGAGAATGGAGAGCTTCTTGGATTCTGTGTGGAAATGAGGGGGGGAGGACCCCTATTTATAGTTTTTCGCGCCTGACAGGTCGAGACCGCCGTTCTCGTCTGACAAGGTTGAGACTGCCGTCTGGAAAATCCAGACCGCCGTCTCGACCATGCAGGGGGTCGAGACCGCCGTCTGGAAAACCCAGACCGCTGTCTCGACCTTTGCAGGAGTCGAGACCGCCGTCTGGAAAATCCAGACCGCCGTCTCGACTTTGCAAGAGTCGAGACCGCCATCTGGAATGAAAGAATTAATGGTTGAGTTCAAGAGGGGGGGTGAATTGAACTTTAAAACTTTTTCGCAAAACTTACTTTCTTTTGGAAGAATGAGTTATCTTTATTCAATCTTTGTGAAGGTAATTTGGTTTAAACACAGCAAGTTTATAGATAGAAAATAAAAGAGATGAAAGAAGAATTTTAACACACAAATTTATACTGGTTCACTCTAATCTAGAGCTACATCCAGTTCTTGACAAACCAGTCAAGTTCCACTAATACCAAGTGAAAATTACAACCAGTAGATACTCACCAATCTACCCCAAGAACTATCTTGCAAACCCACAAGATAGAATCTTGAAAACCACCCAGTAACCAAATCTAGTTACTGTACCAAGTGCAGATCACAATCCGACCTGCACAATCACACTTTTACAAAAGAGTATGGAAAGAAAAAACCTGGACTTGAAGTTCTAATTGTCCAGAACAAATTCTAACAAGCACTTTCTCTCTTTGATTGACCACAATTCGATCACGAGCACCTTGTGATATGAAAAGATTCTTGAATGCGAGAGAAAGTCACGTATATGAAAGTTTCACAGATTGATTTCACAAGTTTTCTCAAGTAGTGTGTTGTATATATTTCAAAAGATAGATCAATTACGTATATATAGAGTAAAACAAAGAATCAGAATGTTTCATCCGTCAAAAGCTGTTTCGGAGAGTCAAAAGATCGATTAGTTTGAGAGTATAACGAGTTTAGAAGAGACTTCGATCGATTAGAGCTGAAGTATGATCGATCAGACCGAGCTATGATCGATCAGAATGAAACTATGATCGATCAGAATACATTTCAATCGATTAAAACATTGATTCAATCGATTGATCATCTTTTTGCTTAGTACAACATCACCCCACTTCAAATGCTGAGGAGATATATTTTGTGTGACAACACTTTTTGTAGGAACTTTTAGTAAATGCTCAAATGCCCAAACCTGAAATATGAAAAATTTAACCAAAGTCATTATAATATGTATAATTAACTAAATAATAACTTCATGAATAACAATTAATAACATACTTGTAATACTAAAACACATTTATGCAATTGTGCTGAAGTTTTATCTTCTAACAAACAAAAAGACGTTTGACATAGGTTTTCAAACATATTTTCGTATGCAACAACACCTTAGTTATATTTTTCAATTACTTCTATATTATCTAATACTTTGAATGAACCTACAAACACATAATAAGGGTATGTATTTGGGAACTTTGCTAACTCAAGAACTATATACAGTCCACAAAAATCATCAACCTCATGCTCATTTCATAGTTCTTAAAGTTTAGCGAATATTTTTTCTAAAAGAACTTATTTCGAGTGAAACATGGTCCCCATCAAACAATCACCATCTTCATCGAAATTAATTCTCACCAGTTATAGGAAGACCTAAAATAAGACAAATAACTAATGTTGTAAACTTACTACTTTCTCTCATATTCTAACCCCCTCCCATTTTCTCATCCCATCTACTACATAATTCAAACAACAATGATAGATAAATTTGAAGTTTTTCTCCCATTTGCAACAACAATTTAAAAACTCTTCAATTTCACTTTTACAATGGATTGAAATATTTGTGTTAACTTATCTAATCCATCAGATTTTGCATTCATGTCTTAGATGCATATACAAAAAATTATATATATATACAAACAAATTATGATAACAACAATGACTGCATTCCATAATTCAAAATATTCATCTAACAAATAATATGTTCCAACCCTTTAACTCAATATTTTTGTATGTACTCACTAGAAATAGAAACAAATACAACACAATTATTTCAAATCTTGCCTCATATAATTTTGAACATAATCTATTCCTAATGTTGACGATACAAAGAAAAAAAAGATACAAATCCCTACACCTACATTTAATTGTTTCAAGAGCATTCTTAATGACTGATAACTGACATTGGATAAAGCTTCAGAATTGGACAAATTTTCTAACCCATGTCCTCTCTAAATTCATTCAAAACACGAAAAGAGTGTCAATTTTGTGGTGCATAACAGCTAATACACACTTTCTAATGATACTTACAAATCTACTATAAATTAAGTAAGGTAATGTGTTCGTCATTTTTATTGCTAATAAATAGGACACATTATACTTTTCAAACCTTTAATTGAAGGTAGACAAAAAAAATCAACAAAATTCATAATCCATTTACAAAAATAGGTTATGTAAACTCATCTCCAATTTCGGTTTGCTCTTTACCAATGTCGCTTCACGTATTATCTATTAACATATCAACCAATTATGAACCAGGTCAATGTCAAACAAAAGCCTCAAGAACAGATGACAAGGACAAACGAAACACTCATTGTCAATACTAGGAGTTGAGTCACGAGCCAATGTCGAGCCCAACCAAACAATGAAACTGAGGCGCCATGAAAGGGAAGGACGGACGTGAGCCAACGCCAACAGTGTGCGATGAAAGGGAACCACATAAGGGAGACAATACCAACGATGTGCACATAAGAGAAGGTGGAGGACACGCACCTAGGACAATAGAGGCGACAAAGACGAGACACAACTAAATAAGAACACTTTTTCTATACAACGACCTTTTTCTCAAATACGCTTCTTTCCTCTTTCAACTTTGAAACTTTAATTTAATTGGATTACCACCTCACTAATAAGAACTAATAAAAAATTGATATCAACGCTGTGTCTACAAAATGTCCTAAATTTTATTTGAATAGGGATCACAGTAAGAGGAGGAGTGTGAAATTACTAGTTTTGGTATTGTGATTTTCACATTTTATATATATATATATATATATATATATATATATATATATATATATATATATATATATATATATATTCTAGTAATAAAGAAAAGTAAAGTAATTTAACTCAGCGGCGAATGACATTACACAAAGATGGCGCCGAAAAGGAACAAGCAGAAGGCAAAAGCGGAATCTGGTCCGAGGCTTCAGATTTCGGCCGAAAATGAGAACCGCCTTCGCCGCCTCTTGCTCAACTCGGGCCGGCCCACCCCTGCGCTTGGCACTGCCACGGGGACTGTAATGGACGATACCCTTACCAAGGCCAAGAAGGCAAAGAAGCTCAAAGCCGTTTACGATAAGCTCTCTTGCGAAGGTTTCACCAATCAGCAAATCGAGCTCGCTCTCTCTACTCTCAGGGTACACTGCTCGCAATCCATTCCACCCACCTAGAGCACAGAGCTATGCAATTTAAAAATTTTGTCGATATTTAAATTCCTTCTCTGTTTCATTGTAATTTCTAGGAAGCTGCTACATTCGAATCAAGTCTTGATTGGTTATGCTTGAATTTGCCGGGGAATGAACTTCCGCTCAAGTTTTCTACTGGAACATCCCATTATAACGAAGGTGTATTTGTGCTCCCCTTCATAGTATAAAAATGTTGAATTCATCAACTTTTAGACTTCGTTGATCATATATTTGTGATGCCTTGTTAGGGGGTTCTGTTGGTGTTATATCAAATCAGTCGAACAATTCAACTCCGGCCGTGGATCCATCAACTAAGGAAGAAGCTCCAGAATCACCAGTTTTAATCAAGAGACAGTGGAAGGATGATACTTTAGATTCTTGTCTACCATCTCAAGCAGATTGGATCAGACAATACGTGGAGCTACAGGAAGAGGTAATTTAAGTCCGCACATCACTGCCAATGAATGCTTCTGGTACGTAGTGCCCGAATATAATAGTTTTTTCCGCACAATTGGAAATAGGATTAACCATGGGTGATGTGATAATATCTATCACCAGAGTGTACAATTGTGAGTACCCTCTATTTTTGCATGTCCAGTGTTTGCTTCTATCAGGTTTTTGTCTTTTGGTTTAAAGGAAGAGCCTTAATTATGTGGTATTTGCAGGATGAATCTGAGACTTGGGAAGATGACGTTTTTATTGAAAGTAGTGCCAAAAAAAAGGTATTTCTCTCTTTCTTGATGATTGACAATGCCAAAACATTTTGGATGTTCATTTCAACCACAACCCCATCTATTTCCATTATTTCTTAAGTCAACCGGTTATTCACTTCCACAGTAATTTTTTCTGGGTAGTATGATATGCTGATAGTCTTATAGATCTCCATCTTCATTTACGAGGATGGAGAGTCCAATATCTTTATTTTGTTTGGTTCCTATTAACTGTGGAGTGATGGTGTAACATTATTTGTTAGATTCTGATGTGACGAGCTTAACTTCTCTTTTCTATCTTGATTTGATAGCCCTATGAACCTAGATCTTATGATGTTATTGCGAAGGAGTATCTTGCTGCTAGATTGGAAGCTACAAAAGCGAAGGGAAAAGGTGACAAGAAGCACCAGGAGCAGGCAGGGCGTATCATCCGTAAACTGAAGCAGGAGTTGTCTGCTCTAGGTTAGTTTAAATTTCATTTTCTATTTCAACTTTTTTTTTTGTGAACTGTAATTGTCTTATTTGATTGTGTAATACATTAATCAGGACTATCAGATGACAATTTGGCCTTAGAACATGAGCATGAAATCAGTTCTATCTTCAAATCTGAGGGAGGATCCACTGATCATGAGTCTGTTGATTGCTCTAAAGAAAGAACTCCATGTGACACCGAAGGATTGGCTTTTGATGAAAAAGCAGTTGATGGAAGTGATCTGGAGAGCCATAGCACGGTGGAATATCTTGTTAAGTCTGGTTCACCAGTTGTAGGTGTGGAAAAGGATTCAGCTCAAGGGGAGGTTGGAGACATTGAACTGGGTGGTTTCTTCTTGGAGGATGACTCATCTAGTGAAATATTAGCTCCTGATATTTTGAAAGTACAGAAACAAGAAAAAATTAAAAGATTAGCTGAGAAAAATTTGGATAAGTTAGAAGGCATTTGGAAAAAGGTAATTTTGTAGGATGCATTTCATATATCTTGATGAATGGAGTTTAATGCAATTCATGTCTTCCAGTCAATCTGAATAACTTTTTGCTTCTCTTAAGTATGAGGAAATGCATTGATTGTCTAGGTAGAGAGAGAGACGGGGGGATTTCATGGATGGATATGAAAATGTCTTGTTTCACATAAAGTAAAAATATCAAGCAATGTGGATGGGATATTTTCATGTTATTTACCTTTATGCTGTTTTTTTTTTAGTTTTTGTAATTTCAAAACAGTAAAATGGCACCAGATCCTATTTTTAAATTTAAAACACTTGATTTGGGACAATTAGGTGTTTGGCTTTTGGTGTAAATCAGATGACCATTTTAATGTGGTTTTACTGACATTTATGATTACGAACTGTGCAGCTTTGCTCCAATGATTTTCTCTTTTGTTTAGGAAGATTCCTTAATCCTTACCCTTCCTTTTCTTTGTAATCTTTTTTCCTCTTCATCTTAATGAATTTTCTTTCATAAAATAGTGGTTTTTGAAATAATTGTGTCTGTTGTTTGTTTCTGAGCATAAGGAAGATAGCACCGTATTTCTGTTTGTTCTTGCTATGATCTAAGAATAGTTATTTCCTGCATGTTATAACTTATAGGGAGACCCTCAAAAGATTCCAAAGGCTGTTCTTCATCAACTATGCCAGAAATCAGGGTGGGAGGCTCCAAAGTTTGATAAAATTTGTGGTAGAGGAAAGAGTTTCTCCTATACTGTAAGTATATTGCGTAAAGGCAGTGGGAGGGGCAAAAATCGAAAAGCTGGGGGGTTGGTCACATTTCAGTTGCCAGATCAGAATGAAACTGTTGAATCTGCTGAGGTGAGTCATCCTTAAGCTTTTCATCTCCATGCTTCTGTAGTTATTGAAGATTTTTATAGACACTTGAGTGGGATCAAAACTTATTTTGTTGTGCATCTTTTTCTTTTTTGCTATTTTTTGGTATGAATTAGGCCATGTTCGGAAAATTTCATAGGGCAAGTAGTATATAGACCTCTATACTTTTAAATTCTCTCTCTCTCTCTCTCTCTCTCTCTCTCTCTCTCTATATATATATATATATATATATATATATATTAAGTATTTATAGAGAACAGTTTAAAAAAATAGAAGAAAAGCAATATATGTATCGATACTTCTCTGGACAAGGAAATTTATGGAACTATTAAGAAATTGAAATAGTAATGTAATGCAGCAATGCTTCTCGCAAAATGAGAAAACAAAGAAGAAATTTCTCAAGTTTAAGAGAAACAAATTCCCTAATTAGTCAAAACCATGATAGTTAGAATTGTATGAATTGCACGATATGTATCGCGATTCGATTCAAAATTTTTCTTCCATGATACATATCGGTAGGTGAATCGTTTTATGGGATTGGAATCGTATGATTCACAATTTAGTTCCATTACACCCGATTTAGCGATATATATGCATCACCAAATATACACTTCACAAAGCAACACACTGCATAGGCTACACACATTGCAAATGCTTCACGTGATACACATTACAAATGAAAAATCCAAACAAATCGAGTGTCACATATAATGGAATTATTTGGCTATAAATTGAGAAGGGAAACAATGATGAGAACGATAAGAAGGTGGAGAAGGAATGCAGTAGGATCAGTAAAAGAATACATAAAATGTACTGGGCAAAAGAATCGTAAAGGAGGAGAGAAAAGAAGAAGCTTTTACGAGAGAAGAAAATAAAATCAATAAAGTAAAGAAGCTTACTGCCAAGAAGAATAACCGGCAATACCATTTGGGAAAGCACCCATGGAGAAGAAAACAAGTTGGAGAAGAGAACAGGTTTGCATGTCCTACTCACTGGCTCAAACATATACTAACAAATTCAAACTGAGACATATATTCTAAATCTATCTCAGTGGCACACTTACACTATTTTAATCTCTGACTTTTGTGAAACTAGATTATGATTTTAATAATATTTAATTCATTCTAAAGCAGCAACACATTCACATCATATTTTATTTATCATATATCTTATGATTCATAATAAGATTTTGATTCACGATTCAAAAAAAAAAAAAAAAAAAACGATCACGATACGAATCTCGATCTGATAACCATGGTCAAAATCACCCACCAATTGCCCATTCCCCCTTTTTGGTTACTCATCACCCCTTAATAGTGCTTTCTTGCTTGATTGCCAAAATCCCTTCTTGCGATTCCCTCCCCTCCCCTTCCCACACCCCTTTTTCACAAGTCCATTTTGTTATGTTTGTTCTTTGTCCTCCCTTCTTTCTAATTCTCTTCATCGTCACCCGAGAACTATGAGTTTCCTGAAGCTCAACTATTTCCTTCACTTTTTCCTCTTTTCGTTACCTTCTATTGACATGTATATTTTTCCTATCATATATATATGAAGAGGGGTGGGGGAGATCATGATATTTCGTTTGAAAGAGGCATACTAGTCAAGTGCAACATGAAGTGGATGCCCCCCCAAAAAGGTTATAGTGGAGGATAGGGAGATCTATTTTTATCCCTAAGTAGATTTACATACAATATATTGTGAGACAATAAGAAAGAGAATTTTCTAAATGTGCTTGAGCATGTCAGAGATATGATTTTGTAATGTCTTTTCTATTACTATTTGTGAACAACTATATGTTATCATAGTTGTAATTCGTTACAATTGATCTTCCATTCGTATAATCCTCGAGTCAATACATGTGTTGCATAACTGTGTGGTTTAATTCACTTTGATTTGTGGGGACCTAAACGAGTTTGGTCAACTTTAGGGTTTTATTTTATTTTTTTATATTTATTGGTAGTAGTTGAGTTTTCTTAATGCAAAACGTTCTTATGCTTTTCTAGTTTTTCAAACTTTTCATATGAAATTCAAAATCAATTTGGGACAACTATTAAAACTTTGCTAACCGATAATACTAAAGAATATTTGTCATCCTATTTTCAAACCTTTTTGACCTTGTAGGGAATTATTCATCAAATTTTCTCTATTATATACCACAACAAAGTGATGTTGCTTAGTGTAAAATTTGTCAACTAGTTGTAGCACCCATTCTACTTCAGTATCAAGTTCCACTTTGCTTCTAGAGTGACACTTCTCATTGCCTATTATTTAACCAATTGCATGCTCATTTGATCTCAATATTTAGGTTTTTCTATCTTGTACCCACAATAGTCCTCTATCTTATTCCTACGCATGTCTTTGGGTGTACTTGCGACGTACATGATCTCACTCTCAAAAAAGATAAGCTCTTTGCCATGTTGGTAAAATTTGTATTTCTTGGCTACTCTCGACCTTGGAAACAATAATGTTATTTTTGTGCTAATATTTGTTGGGATCTTATTTTTATTAATGTCACTTTCTTTATTCCGACCCTTAAAAAGTAGAAACCTTTATGATTTTTCTAAATGGCCATGGTGTCTATTTATGGAATGGGAGGCCATGATAACAGAGGAAGAACCATCAAATGTGTTTTCGTGGGGTATTCTCATCTCTGAAAATGGTTAACTATGTGGTTGTGAGTGTTATGTTTTCCAAAGAAACACCTTTCTTTCCTTCTTCTTTACAAGATGACTTGTCTCATGAGTGTCACTTGAGGAACTTGTTTAGGGTTTCAATACAGTGTAAAAATGCACTGTTATATTGTATTTATAGATAAAAGAGATACAATAGAGAGGATATGGGCCTCAGCCCAAACCCTTAATCCTAATCTAAGAAACATACGCAAAGAATACAAAAAGATAGAGAAATAACATGTCTCACACTCCCCCTCAAGCTAGAGCACATAGATTGTATGCACCAAGCTTGGAACAAATGAACTGAATCTTAGGTCCTCTCAAGGATTTGGTCAAAATCCGTTAGTTGCTCATTGGAGCTTACAAATTCAATTACAAGTTCCTTAGACATTAACTTTTCTCTAACAAAGTGATAATCAATCTCGATATGCTTTGTTCTTTCATGAAACACTAGGTTAGAGACAATATGGAGAGCTGCCTGATTATCACAAAACAACTTCATCTGCCCATTATCACAACATTTTAATTCTTGAAGGAGTTGTTTGGTCCACACAAGTTCACATGTAGCAAGCGTCATAGATCTATACTCAACTTCTGTACTAGATCGAGCAACAACACTTTGCTTTTTACTTTTCCAAGAAATCAAATTCCTTCCAATAAAGATACAATACCCAATAGCAGATCTTTTATCAATGGGTCAACCAACCCAATCTGCATCACAATAACCTAGAATTTGAGTATTACCTTTATCTTCATATAACAATCCTTGTCCTGGGCCCCTTCATCATATCTCAGAATGCGAATCAAGGCATCCCAGTGATCAATACGAGGATTTTGCATAAATTGGCTAACTACTCCAACTGCATAAAAAAGATCTGGTCAGGTAATAGTAATATAAAACCAACCTCCTGTATCTTTCTGGGTCTGACAACTTTTCCTCTTTATCTTCCATCAATTTCTGATTAGGGTCCATTGGGGTATCTATGGGTTTACAATTTGTTAAACCTGTCTCCTTTAAAATATCAAGAGGATACTTCCGTTTAGAGATGATCATACCTTCCTTTGACTGAGCCACTTCAATACCAAGGAAAATACTTCAATTGACCAAGATTTTTGGTTTGGAAGTGAGCAAATAGATGAATCTTCGATTGATTGAACTTAGTATAATCATTGCCTATAATAACAATATCATGAACATAAACCATAAGATACACACACTTGCCTGAAGAAGAATGACAATAAAACACTGAGTGATCTGTTTCACTTCTTTTCAAGGCAAACAACTACACAACATGACTGAACATCCCAAACCAAGCCCGGGATGACTGCTTCAAGCCATAAAGATACCGGAGTAGCTTGCATACTAAACCAGACTCCCCCTGAGCAACAAAGCTAAGAGGTTACTCCATATAAGTCTCTTCTTCAAGGTCACCTTGAAGAAAAACATTTTTAATGTTCAGTTGGTGAAGGGACCGATGATGAATAGCAACCATAGCAAGGAAAAGGCGAATAGTGAAAATCTTAGCTACTAGAGAGAAGGTATCATAATAGTCGAGACCATAAATTTGAGTGTAGACTTTAGCTAGTAGACGAGCTTTAAGACTATCCATTTTATCATTGTTATCAACTTTAACTGCATAGACCTACCTACAGCCCACAACATTTTGTTAGGAGGAAGAGGAACAAGCTTCTAAGTGCCATTGTGCTCAAGAGTTTGTGTTTCATCAATCATAGCTTCACGGACAATATTCGGAATAGTGGTGTTACACAAAGAGACAACAAAAGAGGAATATGAAGAAGGCAAACGATGGTAACTTAAAAAGTTATAAATAGGAAAGAGATTCTGAGAGAAAACAAATACCTTTTCTGAGTGCAATAGGCCAGCTAGAATCAAAAGTGGGAGAGGAGGTTGAATGATCCATGGTATGAGAAGGCCAGCTAGAATCAAAAGTGGAGAGGAGGTTGAAAGATCCATAGTATGAGAAGTTGATGGAGAAGGTTCTAGATCACGATTATTTGCAAAATCTGGTAAAGGTGTAGGTGGGGTCCTGCGGTGATATGCAAGAAGAGGAGGAGAATCATTGAAACCTGTAGGTTGAATTGGAGAAGGATCATGTATTATAAGTGGATAACATTAAGGTATAGGAAGAATATTTTGAATAGAGGAATCATCCTCCATGGGGAAAAAGCGAAGGGTGTTTCTTCAAAGAAGGTGACATCAACAGACATGTAATACCTTTTGGTGGATGGAGAATAACATTTGTACCTGTTAGATATTGTTTAATTTTGTTAAGATATTGTTAGATATTGTTAACCACAATATCAAAC